AAGGTATGTCGGCCCACCATAACCCTAACCCTAAGGTATGTCGGCCCACCATAACCCTAAGGTATGTCGGCCCACCATAACCCTAACCCTAAGGTATGTCGGCCCACCATAACCCTAACCCTAAGGTATGTCGGCCCACCATAACCCTAAGGTATGTCGGCCCACCATAACCCTAAGGTATGTCGGCCCACCATAACCCTAACCCTAAGGTATGTCGGCCCACCATAACCCTAACCCTAAGGTATGTCGGCCCACCATAACCCTAAGGTATGTCGGCCCACCATAACCCTAAGGTATGTCGGCCCACCATAACCCTAACCCTAAGGTATGTCGGCCCACCATAACCCTAAGGTATGTCGGCCCACCATAACCCTAAGGTATGTCGGCCCACCATAACCCTAAGGTATGTCGGCCCACCATAACCCTAAGGTATGTCGGCCCACCATAACCCTAAGGTATGTCGGCCCACAATAACCCTAAGGTATGTCGGCCCACCCTAACCCTAAGGTATGTCGGCCCACCATAACCCTAAGGTATGTCGGCCCACAATAACCCTAAGGTATGTCGGCCCACCATAACCCTAACCCTAAGGTATGTCGGCCCACCATAACCCTAAGGTATGTCGGCCCACCATAACCCTAAGGTATGTCGGCCCACCATAACCCTAACCCTAAGGTATGTCGGCCCACCATAACCCTAAGGTATGTCGGCCCACCATAACCCTAACCCTAAGGTATGTCGGCCCACCATAACCCTAACCCTAAGGTATGTCGGCCCACCATAACCCTAAGGTATGTCGGCCCACCATAACCCTAAGGTATGTCGGCCCACCATAACCCTAACCCTAAGGTATGTCGGCCCACCATAACCCTAAGGTATGTCGGCCCACCATAACCCTAACCCTAAGGTATGTCGGCCCACCATAACCCTAAGGTATGTCGGCCCACCATAACCCTAAGGTATGTCGGCCCACCATAACCCTAACCCTAAGGTATGTCGGCCCACCATAAAACTAAGGTATGTCGGCCCACCATAACCCTAACCCTAAGGTATGTCGGCCCACCATAACCCTAACCCTAAGGTATGTCGGCCCACCATAACCCTAACCTTAAGGTATGTCGGCCCACCATAACCCTAAGGTATGTCGGCCCATGATAACCCTAACCCTAAGGTATGTCAGCCCACCATAACCCTAACCCTAAGGTATGTCGGCCCACCATAACCCTAACCCTAAGGTATGTCGGCCCACCATAACCCTAACCCTAAGGTATGTCGGCCCACCATAACCCTAACCCTAAGGTATGTCGGCCCACCATAACCCTAACCCTAATGTATGTCGGCCCACCATAACCCTAAGGTATGTCGGCCCACCATAACCCTAAGGTATGTCGGCCCACCATAACCCTAATGTATGTCGGCCCACCATAACCCTAAGGTATGTCGGCCCACCATAACCCTAACCCTAATGTATGTCGGCCCACCATAACCCTAAGGTATGTCGGCCCACCATAACCCTAATGTATGTCGGCCCACCATAACCCTAAGGTATGTCGGCCCACCATAACCCTAAGGTATGTCGGCCCACCATAACCCTAAGGTATGTCGGCTCACCATAACCCTAAGGTATGTCGGCCCACCATAACCCTAAGGTATGTCGGCCCACCATAACCCTAAGGTATGTCGGCCCACCATAACCATAACCCTAAGGTATGTCGGCCCACCATAACCCTAACCCTAAGGTATGTCGGCCCACCATAACCCTAAGGTATGTCGGCCCACCATAACCCTAAGGTATGTCGACCGACCATAACCCTAAGGTATGTCGGCCCACCATAACCCTAATGTATGTCGGCCCACCATAACCCTAAGGTGTGTCGGCCCACCATAACCCTAAGGTATGTCGGCCCACCATAACCCTAAGGTATGTCGGCCCACCATAACCCTAACCCTAAGGTATGTCGGCCCACCATAACCCTAATGTATGTCGGCCCACCATAACCCTAAGGTATGTCGGCCCACCATAACCCTAAGGTATGTCGGCCCACCATAACCATAACCCTAAGGTATGTCGGCCCACTATAACCCTAACCCTAAGGTATGTCGGCCCACCATAACCCTAAGGTATGTCGGCCCACCATAACCCTAACCCTAAGGTATGTCGGCCCACCATAACCCTAACCCTAAGGTATGTCGGCCCACCATAACCCTAACCCTAAGGTATGTCGGCCCACCATAACCATAACCCTAAGGTATGTCGGCCCACCATAACCCTAAGGTATGTCGGCCCACCATAACCCTAAGGTATGTCGGCCCACCACAACCCTAAGGTATGTCGGCCCACCATAACCCTAACCCTAAGGTATGTCGGCCCACCATAACCCTAACCCTAAGGTATATCGGCCCACCCTAACCCTAAGGTATGTCGGCCCACCATAACCCTAAGGTATGTCGGCCCACCACAACCCTAAGGTATGTCGGCCCACCATAACCCTAACCCTAAGGTATGTCGGCCCACCATAACCCTAACCCTAAGGTATGTCGGCCCACCATAACCCTAAGGTATGTCGGCCCACCATAACCCTAACCCTAAGGTATGTCGGCCCACCATAACCCTAACCCTAAGGTATGTCGGCCCACCATAACCCTAAGGTATGTCGGCCCACCATAACCCTAACCCTAAGGTATGTCGACCCATCATAACCCTAACCCTAAGGTATATCGGCCCACCCTAACCCTAAGGTATATCGGCCCACCCTAACCCTAAGGTATGTCGGCCCACCATAACCCTAAGGTATGTCGGCCCACCCTAACCCTAAGGTATGTCGGCCCACCTAACCTTCGCATCCATCCCTGCCTAGTTTAACTCTCTCACCATCCCTGCCTAGTTTAACTCTCTCACCATCCCTGCCTATTTTAACTCTCTCACCATCCCTGCCTATTTTAACTCTCTCACCATCCCTGCCTAGTTTAACTCTCTCACCATCCCTGCCTAGTTTAACTCTCTCACCATCCCTGCCTAGTTTAACTCTCTCACCATCCCGCGACTGTTTAAAGCTGCTCAGTTAACTCACGAGCTCGAGTTAAACCAAACTAAACTTTGTCAACACAGTTAACCCTAGCCCGCCTGTTGAACAAACATCAGCTAACCTCTGCTGTTGTAGGATCGAATCCCCCATTAACCGTTAACCCAGCAGTTGGATGTTTAACCGTTAAACCAGCAGTTGGGTGTTTAACCGTTAACCCAGCAGTTTGATGTTTAACCGTTAACCCAGCAGTTGGATGTTTAACCGTTAACCCAGCAGTTTGATGTTTAACCGTTAACCCAGCAGTTGGATGTTTAACCGTTAAACCAGCAGTTGGATGTTTAACCGTTAACCCAGCAGTTGGATGTTTAACCGTTAAACCAGCAGTTGGATGTTTAACCGTTAACCCAGCAGTTGGATGTTTAACCCTTAAACCAGCAGTTGGATGTTTAACCGTTAACCCAGCAGTTGGATGTTTAACCGTTAACCCAGCAGTTGGATGTTTAACCGTTAAACCAGCAGTTGGTTGTTTAACCGTTAAACCAGCAGTTGGATGTTTAACCGTTAACCCAGCAGTTGGATGTTTAACCGTTAACCCAGCAGTTGGATGTTTAACCGTTAACCCAGCAGTTGGATGTTTAACCGTTAACCCAGCAGTTGGATGTTTAACCGTTAACCCAGCAGTTGGATGTTTAACCGTTAACCCAGCAGTTGGATGTTTAACCGTTAACCCAGCAGTTGGATGTTTAACCGTTAACCCAGCAGTTGGATGTTTAACCGTTAAACCAGCAGTTGGATGTTTAACCGTTAACCCAGCAGTTGGATATTTAACCGTTAAACCAGCAGTTGGATGTTTAACCGTTAAACCAGCAGTTGGATGTTTAACCGTTAACCCAGCAGTTGGATGTTTAACCGTTAAACCAGCAGTTGGATGTTTAACCGTTAACCCAGCAGTTGGATGTTTAACCGTTAAACCAGCAGTTGGATGCTTAACCGTTAAACCAGCAATTTGATGTTTAACCGTTAAACAAGCAATTTGATGTTTAACCGTTAACCCAGTCACTGGCTTCGCGCTGACTTTAGTATTGATTTTTTTAACGGTGATTGATCGGTGGCTATCGATTAGACGGGTCAAATTGTTTTCAGTCGATCGATATAGGCGGAGGTCACGTGTTTGGTCAGCTAAGTGGGTGGAGTCATTGTAAACATTTGAGAGACTGTTAACTTTTGAGAGTTTGTTGACATTTGAGAGACTGTTAACTTTTGAGAGTTTGTTGACATTTGAGAGACTGTTAACTTTTGAGAGTTTGTTGACATTTTAGAGACTGTTAACTTTTGAGAGACTTAAGATTTGAGAGACTGTTAACTTTTGAAAGAATGTTAAGATTTGAGAGACTTAACTTTTGAGAGAATGTTAACATTTGACAGAATGTTAACTTTTGAGAGACAGTTAAACAATCCCCCCCACCCCCTTTCCCTAATCCCTATTGTTTTCACATCAGAGGTGTGTATTTTGTTGTATTACTTGAGTGAGTTGAATTATCTCATTCAATACTTTTGTGCCCCCCCCCCCTTCATAGTTTTGTTGTATTACTTGAGTGAGTTGAATTGTCTCATTCAATACTTTTATGCACCCCCCCCCCCAATAGTTTTGTTGTATTACTTGAGTGAGTTGAATTATCTTATTCAATACTTTTGTGCCCCCCCCCTCCCCAATAGTTTTGTTGTATTACTTGAGTGAGTTGAATTATCTCATTCAATACGTTTGTGCCCCCCCCCCCCCCAATAGTTTTGTTGTATTACTTGAGTGAGTTGAATTATCTCCTTCAATACTTGTGTGCCCTCCCCCGCCCTACACAAGAAAGCCCCGCCACTGGCATTGAAATCTCCCCACCCCCACCCCCACCTCCCCACCCCCACCTCGCGTGCGGTGAGTACCGTCAGATTTGAGCTCTATGTAAACTAAACCAGCAGTAGCCACACTTGACGGGAATCACGTGATCAAGATGCTGGAAATTGTTGAGGTTTTATTTTATTATCATCTAGCTAGTTCTAGCTTCTAGCTAGTTATGGCTTCTAGCTAGCTCTAGCTTCTAGCTACTTATGGCTTCAAGCTACTTATGGCTTCCAGATAGTTATGGCTTCTAGCTTATTCTAACTTGAAGCTATTTATGGCTTCAAGCTAGTTATGGCTTCCAGCTAGTTATGGCTTCTAGCTAGTTATGGCTTTTAGCTAGTTCTAGCTTCAAGCTAGTTATGTCTTTAAGCTAGTTCTAGCTTCTAGCTAGTTATGGCTTCAAGCTAGTTCTAGCTTCAAGCTAGTTCTAGCTTCAAGCTACTTATGGCTTCCAGATATTTATGGCTTCTAGCTAGTTCTAGATTGAAGCTAGTTATAGCTTCAATCTAGATGTGGCTTCTAGCTTCTAGGTAGTTATGGCTACAAGCTAGTTGTGGTTTCCAGCTTCATATGGCTTCTAGCTAGTTATGGCTTCTAGCTAGTTCTAGCATCAAGCTAGTTATGGCTTCTAGCTAGTTCTAGCTTCAAGCTAGTTCAAGCTAGTTATTTATTCAAGCTAGTTCTAGCTTCAAGTTAGTTCAAGCTAGTTATTTATTCAACCTAGTTATGGCATTTACCTAGTTCAAGCTGCAAGCTAATTTAGTTCTAGCTTCTAGCTAGTTCTAGCTTCAAGTTAATTTAGTTCGAACTAATACTAACTTAAGGATTTATTCCTATAATCAGCTAGTTACAGCCATACCGTATTAAACTTTTTATTCCTATAATCAGCTAGCTACAACTATACCGTATTAAACTTTTTATTCCTATAATCAGCTAGCTACAGCCATACCGTATTAAACTTTTTATTCCTATAATCTGCTAGTTACAGCCATACCGTATTAAACTTTTTATTCCTATAATCAGCTAGCTGCAGCCATACCGTATTAAACTTTTTATTCCTATAATCAGCTAGTTACAGCCATACCGTATTAAACTTTTTATTCCTATAATCAGCTAGTTACAGCCATACCGTATTAAACTTTTTATTCCTATAATCAGCTAGTTACAGCCATACCGTATTAAACTTTTTATTCCTATAATCAGCTAGTTACAGCCATACCGTATAAAACTTTTTATTCCTATAATCAGCTAGTTACAGCCATACCGTATTAAACTTTTTATTCCTATAATCAGCTAGCTACAGCCATACCGTATTAAACTTTTTATTCCTATAATCAGCTAGTTACAGCCATACCGTATTAAACTTTTTATTCCTATAATCAGCTAGTTACAGCCATACCGTATTAAACTTTTTATTCCTATAATCAGCTAGTTACAGCCATACCGTATAAAACTTTTTATTCCTATAATCAGCTAGTTACAGCCATACCATATTAAACTTTTTATTCCTATAATCAGCTAGCTACAGCCATACCGTATTAAACTTTTTATTCCTATAATCAGCTAGCTACAGCCATACCGTATTAAACTTTTTATTCCTATAATCAGCTAGCTACAGCCATACCATATTAAACTTTTTATTCCTATAATCAGCTAGCTACAGCCATACCGTATTAAACTTTTTATTCCTATAATCAGCTAGCTACAGCCATACTGTATTAAACTTTTTATTCCTATAATCAGCTAGCTACAGCCATACCGTATTAAACTTTTTATTCCTATAATCAGCTAGCTACAGCCATACCGTATTAAACTTTTTATTCCTATAATCAGCTAGCTACAGCCATACCGTATTAAACTTTTATTCCTATAATCAGCTAGTTACAGCCATACCGTATTAAACTTTTTATTCCTATAATCAGCTAGCTACAGCCATACCGTATTAAACTTTTTATTCCTATAATCAGCTAGCTACAGCCATACCGTATTAAACTTTTTATTCCTATAATCAGCTAGCTACAGCCATACCGTATTAAACGTTTTATTCCTATAATCAGCTAGCTACAGCCATACCGTATTAAACTTCCTATAGCTGGGGAAGTCCTGTGTACATTGATTTCTAGCTGTGTCGGTTTGTTCTTGACCTTTGTCACGTGTTGTATTAGTTACCTCTCACGTGACCACTGGCGACGCGTGACGTCAGAACCTTTTGCCACGTTCTGTGACGCCTGAGGACCATAACGTGACGTCACAATGTTCTTTGGAGCTGGTTTATGGTGTGTCAGTGTGTGTCCGTCTGTGTGTCCGTCTGTGTGTCCGTCTGTGTGTCCGTCTGTGTGTCCGTCTGTGTGTCCGTCTGTGTGTCCGTCTGTGTGTCCGTCTGTGTGTCCTCTGTATGTTTGTGATCCAACTGTTCCCACTTGACCACGTGATGCCCTTCTTATTTGCAGCTGGTTCAAACCTCGCTCTCGTCGGGACCCCCCACCGTCAGGCCAGGGGCGCCGCCACCTGAGCCACCTGGCACCGACCTTGACCTTGAGATGCCGGAGACGCCGTCAGCACGTGGTAAGAGAATCAACAGCGGCACCCAGCGTCAGAGGTCACCCAAACCTGGCTCGGCCATTCAGAGAAGTTCTAGTGGGAACTCTTTGGACAGGGAGGTACGTCACGGGGAGGGGAGGGGGAGGGGAGGGGTGTTAGTCACGTGATAGCTACACTCTCATAAAGCTCTCGCAAACCTCTAACTCCTGTCACGTGATATGTTTTCCCAGAGGCCACAGAGTAAATCTCACTCACGCCGGAATGTTAAAAAGGTCAAGGACGATTTCGAGGAACCAGGTTTGTACATTTAATTTGTACAAGCGTGTCAATATAGCTTAACCTTGACCCTTGCTAGCACGTGTGTCAGTCTAGACTGACCTTGACCCTTACCCCCACCCCACTGTGTTGCCAGAAGCTGAGGACCCGAAGGACGCCGAGTCATCTGACCCGGAAGAAAAGCTCTGCGCATGTCTACAGAGTCAGCTGATCGAGTGCAGCAGACAGAGACTGAGGGCCTTCAGGATGAGTCTCCGTCACTATGGCAACGTGGACAACAAGGTGTCATTTAAAGACGTGCAGGCCTCCCTGCAGGTGAGAGGTGTCATTCACTTGACATTTGACATCCCGGTGACAGAGCTTAAATGCTAGACAGACAGAGCTTTTATGCCGGGCAGACTAAGCTTATATGCTAGACAGACAGAGCTTAAATGCTAGACAGACTGAGCTTATATGCTAGACAGACAAAGCTTTTATGCCGGGCAGACTAAGCTTATATGCTAGACAGACAGAGCTTATATGCTGGACAGACTGAGCCTATATGCTAGACAGAGCTTAAATGCTAGACAGACTGAGCTTATATGCTAGACAGACAGAGCTATTATGCCGGGCAGACTGAGCTTATATGCTAGACAGACAGAGCTTAAATGCTAGACAGACTGAGCTTATATGCTAGACAGACTGAGCTTTTATGCTAGACAGACTGAGCTTACATGCTAGACAGACAGGATCTAGAACAGAGCATTCCTCTCGTCCGTATTAGCAGCTCTGGTTGAAGGAAACCGTATCCCCCCCCCTCTCCCCCCCCCCCCCAGGCTGACGACCTTGACCTTTGTAATGTCCCCCCCCCCCCCCCCCCCACAGGAGAACCAGATCCGTCTGAGCCAGAGGGCGCTGACCATGATGTCCGAACTGTACGAGCAGGCCCAGGGGCTGGACTACGAGAAGTTGTACGCCTGTATGACCAAAGCTCACCTCAGGACAGGTAGGTAGGGTAGGGCAGGGTAGGGTAGGGTAGGGTAGGGTAGGGTAGGGCAGGCCCAGGGGCTGGACTACGAGAAGTTGTACACCTGTATGACCAAAGCTCATCTCAGGACAGGTGGGTAGGGTAGGGTAGGGTGGGGTAGGGTAGTGTAGGGCAGGCCCAGGGGCTGGACTACGAGAAGTTGTACGCCTGTATGACCAAAGCTCATCTCAGGACAGGTGGGTAGGGCAGGGTAGGGTAGGGCAGGGTAGGGTAGGGCAGGCCCAGGGGCTGGACTACGAGAAGTTGTACGCCTGTATGACCAAAGCTCACCTTAGGACAGGTGGGTAGGGTAGGGTAGGGCAGGCCCAGGGGCTGGACTACGAGAAGTTGTACACCTGTATGACCAAAGCTCATCTCAGGACAGGTGGGTAGGGCAGGGTAGGGTAGGGCAGGGTAGGGTAGGGCAGGCCCAGGGGCTGGACTACGAGAAGTTGTACGCCTGTATGACCAAAGCTCACCTTAGGACAGGTGGGTAGGGTAAGGTAGGGTAGGGCAGGCCCAGGGGCTGGACTACGAGAAGTTGTACACTTGTATGACCAAAGCTCATCTCAGGACATGTGGGTCTCAGGACAGGTAGGGTAGGGTAGAGCAGGGTAGGGTAGGGTAGGGCAGGCCCAGGGGCTGGACTACGAGAAGTTGTACACTTGTATGACCAAAGCTCATCTCAGGACATGTGGGTCTCAGGACAGGTAGGGTAGGGTAGGGTAGGGTAGGGTAGGGCAGGCCCAGGGGCTGGACTACGAGAAGTTGTACACCTGTATGACCAAAGCTCATCTCAGGACAGGTGGGTAGGGCAGGGTAGGGTAGGGCAGGCCCAGGGGCTGGACTACGAGAAGTTGTATGCCTGTATGACCAAAGCTCATCTTAGGACAGGTGGGTAGGGCAGGGTAGGGCAGGGTAGGGTAGGGTAGGTTAGGGTAGGGTAGGGTAGGGTAGGGCAGGCCCAGGGGCTGGACTACGAGAAGTTGTATGCCTGTATGACCAAAGCTCATCTTAGGACAGGTGGGTAGGGCAGGGTAGGGTAGGGTAGGGTAGGGTAGGGCAGGCCCAGGGGCTGGACTACGAGAAGTTGTACGCCTGTATGACCAAAGCTCATCTTAGGACAGGTGGGTAGGGTAAGGTAGGGTAGGGTAGGGTAGGGTAGGGTAGGGTAGGGTAGGGTGGGGTAGGGTAGGGTGGGGTGGGGTAGGGTAGGGCAGGCCCAGGGGCTGGACTACGAGAAGTTGTACGCCTGTATGACCAAAGCTCATCTTAGGACAGGTGGGTAGGGTAGGGTAGGGTAGGGTAGGGTGGGGTAGGGTAGGGTGGGGTGGGGTAGGGTAGGGCAGGCCCAGGGGCTGGACTACGAGAAGTTGTACGCCTGTATGACCAAAGCTCATCTTAGGACAGGTGGGTAGGGTAGGGTAGGGTGGGGTAGGGTAGGGCAGGTCAGGGCAGGGTAGGGTAGGGTAGGGCAGGCCCAGGGGCTGGACTACGAGAAGTTGTATGCCTGTATGACCAAAGCTCATCTCAGGACAGGTGGGTAGGGTGGGGTAGGGTAGGGTAGGGTAGGGCAGGGTAGGGCAGGGCAGGGCAGGGTAGGATAGGGCAGGGTAGGGTAGGGTAGGGTAGGGCAGGGTAGGGCAGGGCAGGATAGGGCAGGGTAGGGTAGGGTAGGGTAGGGTAGGGCAGGGTAGGGCAGGGCAGGAAAGGGCAGGGTAGGGTAGGGTAGGGCAGGGTAGGGTAGGGCAGGCCCAGGGGCTGGACTACGAGAAGTTGTATGCCTGTATGACCAAAGCTCATCTCAGGACAGGTGGGTAGGGTGGGGTAGGGTAGGGTAGGGCAGGGCAGGGTAGGGTAGGGTAGGGTAGGGTAGGGCAGGCCCAGGGGCTGGACTACGAGAAGTTGAATGCCTGTATGACCAAAGCTCATCTCAGGACAGGTGGGTAGGGTAGGGCAGGGCAGGGCAGGGTAGGGTAGGGTAGGGGTAGGGGTAGGGGTAGGGGTAGGGGTAGGGTTAGGGTTAGGGTAGGGTAGGTGGGGTAGGGCAGGCCCAGGGGCTGGACTACGAGAAGTTGTACGCCTGTATGACCAAAGCTCATCTTAGGACAGGTGGGTAGGGTAGGGTAGGGTAGGGTAGGGGTAGGGGTAGGGTTAGGGTTAGGGTTAGGGTTAGGGTTAGGGTTAGGGTTAGGGTAGGGTAGGGTAGGGTAGGGCAGACCCAGGGGCTGGACTACGAGAAGTTGTACGCCTGTATGACCAGGGTAGGGGTAGGGGTAGGGTAGGGTAGGGGTAGGGGTAGGGGTAGGGGTGTGGGTAAGGTTAGGGTTAGGGTAGGGTAGGGTAGGGTAGGGTAGGGCAGGCCCAGGGGCTGGACTACGAGAAGTTGTACGCCTGCATGACCAGGGTAGGGGTAGGGGTAGGGGTAGGGTAGGGTAGGGTAGGGTAGGGTAGGATAGGGCAGGGCAGGGCAGGGCAGGGTAGGGTAGGATAGGGTAGGGTAGGGTAGGGTAGGATAGGGTAGGGCAGGGCAGGGCAGGGTAGGGTAGGGTAGGGTAGGGTAGGGGTAGGTTACGGTAGGGGTAGTGGTTGGGTTGGGTATGGTAAGGTAGGTTTGAGTTGGGTTGGGTATGGGTAGGGTAGGTTGGTTGAAGTTGTTGACTGGTTGTTAGTTGGTGGGGTGGTTGGCTAATTGGATGGCTGGCTGGCTGGTTGGCTGGCTGGTTGGTTGGTTGGTTGGTTCGACTACTAGATCGTGGGTTAGATTAATGTTAATATGTTAATTAGGGTGAGGTTTCTATAAGCGTTAATAAAGTCATCGCCCGCATAACGAGACAACATTAGGTCATGTTGAGGTCATTGACCTTACTGTCCTCATAACGTGACAGCTTTAGGTCATGTTGAGGTCAATGACCTTACTGTCCCCATAACGTGACAGCTTTAGGTCATGTTGAGGTCAATGACCTTACTATCCCCAGGACGAGACAACGTTAGGTCATGTTGAGGTCAATGACCTTACTATCCCCAGGACGAGACAACGTTAGGTCATGTTGAGGTCAATGACCTTACTATCCCCAGGACGAGACAACGTTAGGTCATGTTGAGGTCAATGACCTTACTGTCCCCAGGACGAGACAACGTTAGGTCATGTTGAGGTCAATGACCTTACTGTCCCCAGGACGAGACAGCATTAGGTCATGTTGAGGTCAATGACTTTACTGTCCCCAGGACGAGACAACGTTAGGTCATGTTGAGGTCAATGACCTTACTATCCCCAGGACGAGACAACGTTAGGTCATGTTGAGGTCAATGACCTTATTGTCCCCAGGACGAGACAACGTTAGGTCATGTTGAGGTCAATGACCTTACTATCCCCAGGACGAGACAACGTTAGGTCATGTTGAGGTCAATGTCCTTATTGTCCCCAGGACGAGACAGCGTTAGGTCATGTTGAGGTCAATGACCTTACTATCCCCAGGACGAGACAACGTTAGGTCATGTTGAGGTCAATGTCCTTACTGTCCCCAGGACGAGACAGCATTAGGTCATGTTTAGGTCATTGACTTGTCTCCAGGACAAGACAGCATTAGGTCATGTTGAGGTCATTGACCTTACTATCCCCAGGACGAGACAGCATTAAAGCCAGACAGAAGAGAAACGACCTGGAGGCCAAGCAATCGCTGACGGTAGAGCAGGTGGACGCTGACTTTCTTAGAAGGTGAGGCACAATCATACAATCATACAATCATACAATCATATAATCATACATACACACATTCACACAATCACATATTTACACATTCACATAATCATACAATCATGCCATCACATAATAACATAATCATACAATCAGACAATCGTACAACCATACAATCATACAATCATACAACCACGCAATCACACATTTACACTATCATACATTCACATATTTACACAATCATAAAATCGCACAATCATACAGTCATGCAATCACGCAATTACATATTCACACATTCACACAATCATACAGTCACACAATCACACAAACAATCATCTCAAACAAACCGTTTGCACATACAATCACACATCCAATCACACATCCAATCACACATCCAATCACACATACAATCACACATACAATCACACATACAATCACACATACAATCACACATTCAATCACACATCCAATCACATACTCAAGCGCACATTTTATCTCAAATCTAATGACATATCCAATCAACCACAATAACTGCAGTAACTGCAGTAACTGCCTCCACTAAACGTAAATGAGATATCGATTAGATAAATTGATTCGCCTTTATTAAATGCCGGTGGTTTATTGTGAGCTCACGTGGTACACAAAAACTTAACCCTAACCGTGACGCCATCGTAATCCATTACACACATCACTTTATTACATTACAGACATAACTGTATTACATTACACACATCACTTTATTACATTACAGACATCACTGTATTACATTACACACATCACTTACTGATCAAAGACCTATCTTGCAGATTAGAGGACCTACTGATCAAAGACCTTTCTTTCAGATTAGAGCACCTACTGATCAAAGACCTATCTTTCAGAATAGATGACCTACTGATCAAAGACCTATCTTTCAGATTAGAGGACCTATTGATCAAAGACCTATCTTTCAGATTAGAGGACCTACTGATCAAAGACCTATCTTTCAGATTAGAGGACCTATTGATCAAAGACCTATCTTTCAGATTTGAGGACCTACTGATCAAATACCTTTCTTTCAGATTAGAGGACCTACTAATCAAAGACCTATCTTTCAGATTAGAGGACCTACTGATCAAAGACCTTTCTTTCAGATTAGAGGACCTACTAATCAAAGAACTTTCTTTCAGATTAGAGGACCTACTGATCAAAGACCTATCTTTCAGATTAGAGGACCTACTGATCAAATACCTATCTTTCAGATTAGAGGACCTACTGATCAAAGACCTATCTTTCAGATTTGAGGACCAACTGATCAAAGACCTATCTTTCAGATTAGAGGACCTACTGATCAAAGACCTATCTTTCAGATTAGAGGACCTACTGATCAAAGACCTATCTTTCAGATTAGAGGACCTACTGATCAAAGACCTATCTTTCAGATTAGAGGACCTACTGATCAAAGACCTATCTTTCAGATTAGAGGACCTACTGATCAAAGACCTATCTTTCAGATTAGAGGACCTACTGATCAAAGACCTATCTTTCAGATTAGAGGACCAACTGATCAAAGACCTATCTTTCAGATTAGAGGACCTACTGATCAAAGACCTATCTTTCAGATTACAGGACCTACTGATCAAAGACTTATCTTTCAGATTAGAGGACATACTGATCAAAGACCTATCTTTCAGATTAGAGGACCAACTGATCAAAGACCTATCTTTCAGATTAGAGGACCTACTGATCAAAGACCTATCTTTCAGATTAGAGGACCTACTGATCAAAGACCTATCTTTCAGATTAGAGGACCTACTAATCAAAGACCTATCTTTCAGATTAGAGGACCTACTGATCAAAGACCTATCTTTCAGATTAGAGGACCAACTGATCAAAGACCTATCTTTCAGATTAGAGGACCTACTGATCAAAGACCTATCTTTCAGATTAGAGGACCTACTGATCAAAGACCTATCTTTCAGATTAGAGGACCTACTGATCAAAGACCTATCTTTCAGATTAGAGGACCTACTGATCAAAGACCAGACCTATTTTGACATTGACCTGTTGAGGACCGAGTTCTCCAAGTGGGACCAGCACCGCATTGGGAAAATGGCGAAAGAGGGCGTGAGTTGTAGCCCTTTGTTAAATCATTTCTTGTCTGTAAACATGAGTTATAGCCCTTTGTTAAACCATTTCTTGTCTGTAAACATGAGTTATAGCCCTTTGTTAAACAATTTCTTGTATGTAGGCGTGAGTTGTAGCCCTTTGTTAAACCATTTCTTGTCTGTAAGCGTGAGTTGTAGCCCTTTGTTAAACCATTTCTTGTCTGTAAACATGAGTTATAGCCCTTTGTTAAACAATTTCTTGTATGTAGGCGTGAGTTGTAGCCCTTTGTTAAACCATTTCTTGTCTGTAAGCGTGAGTTGTAGCCCTTTGTTAAACCATTTCTTGTCTGTAAACATGAGTTATAGCCCTTTGTTAAACAATTTCTTGTATGTAGGCGTGAGTTGTAGCCCTTTGTTAAACCATTTCTTGTCTGTTAGCGTGAGTTGTAGCCCTTTGTTAAACCATTTCTTGTCTGTAAGCGTGAGTTGTAGCCCTTTGTTAAACCATTTCTTGTCTGTGAGCATGAGTTGTAGCCTTTTGTTAAGCCATTTCTTGTCTGTAAGCATGAGTTTAGCCTTTTGTTAAACCATTTCTTGTCTGTAAGCATGAGTTGTAGCCCTTTGTTAAACCATTTCTTGTCTGTAAGCATGAGTTGTAGCCCTTTGTTAAAACATTTCTGCATTATCTGACCCCTTATGTCCTGACCCCTGTAAACCATGTCCCCTGAATGATCTGACCCCTGTAAACCATGTCCCCTGAATGATCTGACCCCTGTAAACCATGTCCCCTGAATGATCTGACCCCTGTAAACCATGTCCCCTGAATGATCTGACCCCTGTAAACCATGTTCCCTGAATGATCTGACCCCTGCATGTCCTGTCCCCTGTATGTCCTGACCCTGTACATGTGAGTCCTGGTCCTACAGGCCTACCTGATATGCAGCGAGAGGACCCCGCTCTACGGCTCGCTACTCAAGAACCTCATCAACAGATGTGAGGAGGACAAGGACAACAAGATCAGGTCAGGACAGTTGTCATTTGTATCTAGGTTAGGACAAGTGTCATTTGTAACTAGGTCGGGACAGTTGTCATTTGTATCTAGGTTAGGACAAGTGTCATCTGTAACTAGGTCGGGACAGTTGTCATCTGTAACTAGGTCAGATCCTGACAGTTGTCATTTGTAACTAGGTCAGATCTTGACAGTTGTCATTTGTAACTAGGTCAGATCCTGACAGTTGTCATTTGTAACTAGGTCAGATCTTGACAGTTGTCATTTGTAACTAGGTCAGGTTAGTGCTGTTGACATGTTAGACTTTGGGATTTAATTAATTAGATATCGCTAAGACCCCCCCCCCCTTTCCCCCCCCCCCCACACCACAGCTGGCCTGTAACGTGACCCCCCCCCCCTACACCACAGCTGGCCTGTAACGTGCCCCCCCCCACACCACAGCTGGCCTGTAACGTGACCCCCCCCCCCCACACCACAGCTGGCCTGTAACGTGCCCCCCCCCACACCACAGCTGGCCTGTAACGTGCCCCCCCCCCCCCCACACCACAGCTGGCCTGTAACGTGACCCCCCCCCCCCCACACCACAGCTGGCCTGTAACGTGACCCCCCCCCCCACACCACAGCTGGCCTGTAACGTGACCCCCCCCTACACCACAGATGTCCTGTAACGTGACCCCCCCCCCTCCCGTCCACACCACAGCTGGCCGCTGCTACTGAATTTCTTGGAGAAGGCTCAGGCTAAAGCCTGGGAAAAACATCCCGAGTTGGCCTCGGTGCCAGACAAGGTCAAGGTCGCGGCCTCTGTCAGGATCGCCACGCCTGACCCCATAGACGAGCTGTCTTCCAGCACAAGGTCAAGGGTCATGACCAAACTGCTGAGAAAGGTCAGTGGAGGTTCAGTGTCAGGTCAGTCTAAGGTCAGGTCAATGTGAGGTCAGTGTCAGGTCAGTCTAATGTCAGGTCAATGGGAGGTGACGATATCGTCAGTATGAGGCCAGCGTCAGGTCAGTGTGAGGTCAGTGTGAGGTCAGTGTGAGGTCAGTGTGAGGTCAGTGTGAGGTCAGTGTCAGGTCAGTGTCAGGTCAGTGTGAGGTCAGTGTCAGGTCAGTGTCAGGTCAGTGTGAGGTCAGTGTCAGGTCAGTGTCAGGTCAGTGTACGACTGTCTGACAGCTAAGAGGGGGGGGGGGTTGATCTAAACATCACTAGCACAAGCTGACACCCTTACGCTCAAGTAGGTCGTTAAAAAACTCACCCCCCTCCCCCCACAGGCCTCCCAGCGACGTAACTCAGCCGCTGACTCGAGTCTAGACGGAAGTGACGACACCAGACACAAGGACCGGCACAGCAAGCCGGAGGACCGGCAAAACAAGACGGCCAACAAAGACGGCAGCCAGGAGAAGGTTGTGAAACAGGAAGACAAAAATGAAACCGTGGCGCCGGAAAAAACCGGTAAACTTTTTCTTAGGTTGTAGAAATACTAGGCATTATTTGGGTCATGTGACTTAACGAAAGGTCATGTGACTTAATGGCAGGTCATGTGACTTAAGGCTACTTGTTGGTAGTACATTTGACAAGTTTTCATGTAATGGTAAGTCAATTATTTATCTAGGTCAAAAGTCAGAGGTCAAAACAGCCAGCGAAAAGGTCGAACCTTTGGCCGTCCAGAAGAAAGGCGAACCTTTGGCCGTCCAGAAGAAAGGCGAACCTTTGGCCGTCCAGTTACCCCGCCATGAGAGCCAGCCCAACAACCGGATACCGTTGAGTGACGTCATGGCAGTGGCACCACGTGACTTCAAGACGTCACAGCTTGCTGGGGATCCCCCTAAGGAAAGACTTCAGCTGGACTGGGTGTAAGTGGGGGGAGGGTCAGGTGGCCTGGGTGTAAGTGTAGGGTGTGGGGGTCAGGGGGGTCAGCTGGACTGGGTGTAAGTGGGGGTGTGTGTCTGTGTGTGTGGGTGGGTGGGTGGGTGGGGGAGGGGGGATCAGCTTGCTGGGGATCCCCCTAAGGAAAGACTTCAGCTGGACTGGGTGTAAGTGTAGGGTGGGAGGGGTCAGGGGGGGGGGTCATGGGGCTTCAGGGGGGGGGGGGTCAGCTGGACTGAAAGTCACAGAAAAAAGTCACAAATGTGTATCAAGAAATATTTTTGTTGTAAGGAATTGGTGGTGTTTTTAGTAAAATGTATATAAACCTTAAGGCATTATGGTTTTTAATAATAATCCGACTTCATAATGATCTTCACAATAAGTAAAAGTACAAAGATAATTGACACAACAGCTTCAAATTTTGTTACGTGTTTATTTAAATACAGCCTTTGTACAGTGTCGGCTTTTTGGCTGGATCAAATGCTTTGTGATGTAATGTGGAGAGTAAAGTTGTCTGAACTATTGTTGTGACAAGTTGTCTGAACTATTGTTGTGACAAGTTAAGGAAGACAAATATTATCATTAATTACTTCTGCCCGTTTTACGCTGATTTCAAGTTTGTATTTTAAAAAACACGAAGAAAACTGATAGGTACGTTCTACTTAATTCTATTCTAGAACGGAATTTAAATACTTTACACCAAATATTTTTACATTTGTTAACATACAAATGGAACCTACGCAACTATATCTAAAACGTTTACATTACAGTTAATTAATTGAAGGCTGATTTGCACTTTTGGGAAACATGAAAGAAGTAACAAATTCCATACAAATATACAATTGTGACTTTTTACCTGTGTTTTTATTTTCTGTGTTTTTCCTGTGACTTTTTTCCAACTATCTGTAAGTCGGGGTTGTATGGCCGGGGTGTAGAGCGGGGGTGTGTGATGATGGAGTAGTTGGGCGAGGGTGTGGGGCGGGGTAATGCAGAGAAAGTGTCTTGTAGGTAGGATAAGACACGTCAAGACACAGAGAAAGTGTCTTGAGGACATGATCCGGCTAGCTGTGACCCAGTCAACATTTCAGGTATGGCTACCGAGGTCAGGATTGTGCGTGTAACCTTGACCTTCTCGCCAGTGGTGAGATCATCTACTTCATCGCCTCAACTGTCATCATCTACAGCCACGTCGATCACTGGCAGCGTCACTATAGGGAGCACACGGAGGATATCAGGAGGTCAGTAGGTCATTAGGTCACTAGGTCACTAGGTCATTAGGTCATTAGGTCAGTAGGTCTTGGCATTAGGTCATTAGGTCAGGGCATTAGGTCATTAGGTCTGGAGGTCAGTCGTTTATCCCGTCTGGTGGTCTACATGTCAGCAGAGAGTAGGTCATTAAGCTCAGTAAGTCATTACACAAGTCATTAAACATGCCCTTAGCTCAGTAAGTCATTACACAAGTCATTAAACATACCCTTAGCTCAGTAAGTCATTACACAAGTCATTAAACATACCCTTAGCTCAGTAAGTCATTACACAAGTCATTAAACATACCCTTAGCTCAGTAAGTCATTACACAAGTCATTAAACATACCCTTAGCTCAGTAAGTCATTACACAAGTCATTAAACATACCCTTAGCTCAGTAAGTCATTACGAAAGTCATCATGCCTTTAGGTATAACTAATAAGGTCTATAAGCAAAATATTCATGAAGTTCATGGGATATGAAGATGTAACTAGGTGAAGGACATCTATTTATGTCGACCAATCAAACGTTGATCTGCTTGCAGCTTGTGTGTCCACCATGCAGGTCTGCTAGTGGCCAGTGGTCAGTTCGCTAGCAGGGATGAGCGGGGTCACAAGGTAGGTCATCTAAATATAGCGTCAAAATGTAGGTCACGCACCTGCAGGGTTAAGTAGCTGACCTTGACCTTTGTTACAGGCCCATGTCCGTGTCTGGAGGTCAGACACCTTACAGACCTTACATCTCCTGGGTGCTGACCTTCTGAGTAAATGTGTGTTGGCGCTGTGTTTCATGCCTGGTGAGGTAAGGTGGTGAGGTGAGGTGGTGAGGTGAGGTGGTGAGGTGAGGGGGTGAGGTGAGGTGGTGAGGTGAGGTGGTGAGGTGAGGTGGTGATGTGGTGAGGTAAGGTGGTGAGGTGAGGTGGTGAGGTGGTGTAAGGTGGTGAGGTGAGGTGGTGAGGTGGTGAGGTAAGGTGGTGAGGTGAGGTGGTGAGGTGAGGTGGTGAGGTGGTGAGGTAAGGTGGTGAGGTAAGGTGGTGAGGTGAGGTGGTGAGGTGGTGAGGTAAGGTGGTGAGGTAAGGTGGTGAGGTGAGGTGGTGAGGTGGTGAGGTAAGGTGGTGAGGTGAGGTGGTGAGGTGGTGTAAGGTGGTGAGGTGAGGTGGTGCGGTGGTGAGGTAAGGTGGTGAGGTGAGGTGGTGAGGTGAGGTGGTGAGGTGAGGTGGTGAGGTAAGGTGGTGAGGTAAGGTGGTGAGGTAAGGTGGTGAGGTGAGGTGGTGAGGTAAGGTGGTGAGGTGAGGTGGTGAGGTGGTGTAAGGTGGTGAGGTGAGGTGGTGAGGTGGTGAGGTAAGGTGGTGAGGTGATGTGGTGAGGTGAGGTGGTGAGGTGAGGTGGTGAGGTGAGGTGGTGAGGTGAGGTTGTGAGGTGGTGTAAGGTGGTGAGGTAAGGTGGTGAGGTAAGGTGGTGAGGTGGTGAGGTGAGGTGGTGAGGTAAGGTGGTGAGGTAAGGTGGTGTAAGGTGGTGTAAGGTGGTGAGGTAAGGTGGTGAGGTAAGGTGGTGAGGTGGTGAGGTGAGGTGGTGAGGTAAGGCGGTGAGGTAAGGTGGTGAGGTAAGGTGGTGAGGTATGGTGGTGAGGTAAGGTGGTGAGGTGAGGTGGTGAGGTGAGGTGGTGAGGTGAGGTGGTGAGGTAATGCGGTGAGGTAAGGCGGTGAGGTAAGGCGGTGAGGTAAGGTGGTGAGGTAAGGTGGTGAGGTAAGGTGGTGAGGTAAGGTGGTGAGGTGGTGAGGTAAGGTGTTGAGGTGAGGTGGTGAGGTAAGGTGGTGAGGTAAGGTGGTGAGGTAAGGTGGTGAGGTAAGGTGGTGAGGTAAGGTGGTTAGGTAAGGTGGTGAGATAAGGTGGTTAGGTAAGGTGGTGAGGTAAGGTGGTGAGGTATGATGGTGAGATGTGGTGGTTAGGTAAAGTGGTGATGTATGATGGTGAGGTAAGGTGGTGAGGTGGTGAGGTAAGGTGGTGAGGTAAGGTGGTGAGGTAAGGTGGTTAGGTAAGGTGGTGAGGTAAGGTGGTGAGGTATGATGGTGAGATGTGGTGGTTAGGTAAAGTGGTGATGTATGATGGTGAGGTAAGGTGGTTAGGTAAGGTGGTGAGGTAAGGTGGTGAGGTATGATGGTGAGATGTAGTGGTAAGGTAAAGTTTTGATGTATGATGGTGAGGTAAGGTGGTTAAGTAAGGTGGTGAGGTAAGGTGGTGAGGTATGATGGTGAGATGTGGTGGTTAGGTGAGGTGGTGAGGTTAGGTGGTGAGGTAAGGTGGTGAGGTAAGGTGGTGAGGTGGTGAGGTAAGGTGGTGAGGTAAGGTGGTGAGGTAAGGTGGTGAGGTGAGGTGGTAAGGTGGTGAGGTAAGGTGGTGAGGTAAGGTGGTGAGGTGAGGTGGTGAGGTGGTGAGGTAAAGTGGTGAGGTGAGGTGGTGAGGTGGTGTAAGGTGGTGAGGTGAGGTGGTGAGGTAAGGTGGTGAGGTGAGGTGGTGAGGTGATGTGGTGAGGTGAGGTGGTGAGGTGGTGAGGTAAGGTGGTGAGGTAAGGTGGTGAGGTGAGGTGGTGAGGTAAGGTGGTGAGGTATGATGGTGAGATGTAGTGGTAATGTAAAGTGGTGATGTATGATGGTGAGGTAAGGTGGTGAGGTAGTGAGGTAAGGTGGTGAGGTAAGGTGGTGAGGTAAGGTGGTTAGGTAAGATGGTGAGGTAAGGTGGTGAGGTATGATGGTGAGATGTGGTGGTTAGGTAAAGTGGTGATGTATGATGGTGAGGTAAGGTGGTGAGGTGGTGAGGTAAGGTGGTGAGGTGGTGAGGTAAGGTGGTGAGGTAAGGTGGTGAGATGGTGAGGTAAGGTAGTGAGGTAAGGTGGTGAGGTAAGGTGGTGAGGTAAGGTGGTGAGATGGAAAGGTAAGGTGGTGAGGTAAGGTGGTGAGGTATGATGGTGAGATGTGGTGGTTAGGTAAAGTGGTGATGTATGATGGTGAGGTAAGGTGGTCAGGTGGTGAGGTAAGGTGGTGAGGTGGTGAGGTAAGGTGGTGAGGTAAAGTGGTGAGATGGTGAGGTAAGGTGGTGAGGTAAGGTGGTGAAGTAAGGTGGTGAGGTAAGGTGGTGAGGTATGATGGTGAGATGTGGTGGTTAGGTGAGGTGGTGAGGTTAGGTGGTGAGGTAAGGTGGTGAGGTAAGGTGGTGAGGTGGTGAGGTAAGGTGGTGAGGTAAGGTGGTGAGGTAAGGTGGTGAGGTGGTGAGGTAAGGTGGTGAGGTAAGGTGGTGAGGTAAGGTGGTGAGGTAAAGTGGTGATGTATGATGGTGAGGTAAGGTGGTTAGGTAAGGTGGTGAGGTAAGGTGGTGAGGTAAGGTGGTGAGGTAAGATTTACTTCCATGTTTTTGACACAGGATATCCTGGCATGCGCAGACAACTCGCCAGACAAGAAGTTGACCGTGTGGGATGTCAAGGACGGCTCGCTTGTGGCTGAAACGTTTGTAAGTAGGTCACAACTCCATCGTCAACTTGACATACTAACCTGAGTGACCTGACACACTAACCTACTTATGTGACCAGATTTCCATGAGGGTTCAGAGTGACATGACCTACTGACCTACTTATGTCCCCAGATATCCACGGAGATGCTGAGTGACATGACCTTTAACCCAAAGTATCCTGAGCTGCTGGTCACGTGTGGCAGAGAACACCTGGCCTGGTGGAAAGTCTACGTCCAGTCTAAGAGGATCGTGTCGTCTGCTCAACCCAACTACGAGGTCAGTCGTTAACCTTGACCCTAACCCAACTACAAGGTCAGTCGCTAACCTTGACCCTAACCCAACTACAAGGTCAGTCGCTAACCTTGACCCAAACCTAATTACGAGGTCAGTCGCTAACCTTGACCCTAACCCAACTATGAGATCAGTGGCTAACATAGACACACACACACACACACAATAAAACATTCACATCTAGAAAAAGAACAACTTCCTAGAATCAATGCCACCAATTGTTTTTCAGAGTTTTCTCAAAGCGAGATTTGTCAACTGCTTACGTCATAACCTAAAGGGTGATCTCATTACGGGAGATTCGAATGGAACAGTCTACATCTGGGGTAATGGGGGTAACAGCATCACAAACTTCGTCAAACATGGGCATGATGTGAGTTTTTAAAAATTTCACTTTAACCTTTGACCCCCAGTGTTGGGTGTGCTCCACTTTAACCTTTGACCCCCAGTGTTGGGTGTGCTCCACTTTAACCTTTGACCCCCAGTGTTGGGTGTGTTTCACTTTAACCTTTGACCCCCAGTGTTGGGTGTGTTTCACTTTAACCTTTGACCCCCAGTGTTGGGTGTGCTCCACTTTAACCTTTGACCCCCAGGGACCAGTGTTGGGTGTGCTCCACTTTAACCTTTGACCCCCAGTGTTGGGTGTGTTCCACTTTAACCTTTGACCCCCAGTGTTGGGTGTGCTCCACTTTAACCTTTGACCCCAGTGTTGGGTGTGTTCCACTTTAACCTTTGACCCCCAGTGTTGGGTGTGCTCCACTTTAACCTTTGACCCCCAGTGTTGGGTGTGCTCCACTTTAACCTTTGACCCCCAGTGTTGGGTGTGCTCCACTTTAACCTTTGACCCACAGGGCCCAGTGTTGGGTGTGCTCCACTTTAACCTTTGACCCACAGGGCCCAGTGTTGGGTGTGCTCCACTTTAACCTTTGACCCACAGGGCCCAGTGTTGGGTGTGCTCCACTACAAGAACCACTTGATGACGTCAGGGAGAGACGGGGCCCTACACTGTTGGACCTGGAACAGGAACATGGACAAGGACGGGACCTTACAGGTAGGTCAAAGGTCAACTCATAGGTCGTCATATGATATGTCATTGGTAGGTCAGATAATAGGTTCATTGGAATGTCAGATGATAAGTCCGTTGGTTGGTTAAATATTTGAGAAAACATCAACATCTTAATAAATAAAAGCTTTCCTCCACACCCACACGTCACTGACCCACCCCACATATCACTGACCCACCCCACACATTACTACCCCACCCCCATACGTCACTGCGCCACCCCACCCCACACATCACTGCCCCACCCCACACATCACTGCCCCACCCCACACATAACCCCCCCCCCCCACCAAATACTCCCACCCCACACATAACTCCCCCCACCAAATACTCCCACCCCAGCTTCCCAAATCTGAGGGCGGTATACGCGCCCTGTTGCTGCTACCAGTAGAAGACTCAACGACCTCGACCTTGGTTTTGGGCACAACCTTCAACTCTCTGCTCTACTTGAATGTCAACCTGACCGGAAGTCCATTAGAGGGCGTGGTCTTAGATGACGTACCGATCACCCACGTGAGTATCTGTTACACAATCACCCACGTGAGTATCTGTTACACAACAAACTGACATCATTTTACACAATCATTTGACATAATTTTCCACAACCATCTGACATCATTTGACGCATTCATCTGACATAGTTTTACGAACTCATCTAAATATTATCAATGTCAAGGGTCATACTGGGGATCTGAAGGCCATTCGGGGAATCCCCAAATCTTTTCTGGGCGCTGACGTCATCACAGCATCAACGGATGGCGTCATCTGCAAGCTGAGCTCGAGCAAGAAGCAGCCGGTGTGGAAGCTGTGGATGAAGGGATATCCATTCCTGTGTGTGGATACAACTGCTGAGGGGGATCAGATGATCTTAGGCACCAAAGATGGACAGTAAGAACTCATTAGGTTAATTAGTTAATTGGTGGAAAGTAAGAACTCATTAGGTTAATTAGTTAATTGGTGGACTGTAAGAACTCATTAGGTTAATTAGTTAATTGGTGGACAGTAAGAACTCATTAGGTTAATTAGTTAATTGGTGGACAGTAAGAACTCATTAGGTTAATTAGTTAATTGGTGGACAGTAAGAACTCATTAGGTTAATTAGTTAATTGGTGGACAGTAAGAACTCATTAGGTTAATTAGTTAATTGGTGGACTGTAAGAACTCATTAGGTTAATTAGTTAATTGGTGGACAGTAAGAACTCATTAGGTTAATTAGTTAATTGGTGGACAGTAAGAACTCATTAGGTTAATTAGTTAATTGGTGGACTGTAAGAACTCATTAGGTTAATTAGTTAATTGGTGGAAAGTAAGAACTCATTAGGTTAATTAGTTAATTGGTGGACTGTAAGAACTCATTAGGTTAATTAGTTAATTGGTGGACAGTAAGAACTCATTAGGTTAATTAGTTAATTGGTGGAAAGTAAGAACTCATTAGGTTAATTAGTTAATTGGTGGACTGTAAGAACTCATTAGGTTAATTAGTTAATTGGTGGACAGTAAGAACTCATTAGGTTAATTAGTTAATTGGTGGACAGTAAGAACTCATTAGGTTAATTAGTTAATTGGTGGACAGTAAGAACTCATTAGGTTAATTAGTTAATTGGTGGACAGTAAGAACTCATTAGGTTAATTAGTTAATTGGTGGACTGTAAGAACTCATTAGGTTAATTAGTTAATTGGTGGACAGTAAGAACTCATTAGGTTAATTAGTTAATTGGTGGACAGTAAGAACTCATTAGGTTAATTAGTTAATTGGTGGACAGTAAGAACTCATTAGGTTAATTAGTTAATTGGTGGAAAGTAAGAACTCATTAGGTTAATTAGTTAATTGGTGGACTGTAAGAACTCATCAGGTTAATTAGTTAATTGGTGGACAGTAAGAACTCATTAGGTTAATTAGTTAATTGGTGGACAGTAAGAACTCATTAGGTTAATTAGTTAATTGGTGGACAGTAAGAACTCATTAGGTTAATTAGTTAATTGGTGGACAGTAAGAACTCATTAGGTTAATTAGTTAATTGGTGGACAGTAAGAACTCATTAGGTTAATTAGTTAATTGGTGGACAGTAAGAACTCAATAGGTTAGTTAGTTAATTGGTGGACAGTAAGAACTCATTAGGTTAATTAGTTAATTGGTGGACAGTAAGAACTCATTAGGTCAATTAGTTAATTGGAGGATAGTAAAAACTCATTTGGTTAATTAATTAATTGGTGGACTGTAGGAACTCATTAGGTTAATTAGTTAATTAATGGATTGTAAAAACTCATTAGGTTAATTAGTTAATTGGTGGAGTGTAAAAACATTTTAGAATTATTAATTAATTAATGGAGAGTAAAATTCCTTAAGATTTCTAGTTCAATAATTTCCCCCCTCCCCCTCCTCCCATTATAACCCCCATTAACTTTGCCTTCACTTCCCCCCCCCCCCCCCACCAAGTCTTGTGATTCTCCAGGTGATGAGGGACGACATGACAGTCGTGGAGCTACTCAATAAGAAAATATCAACAGGGGCGATAACCACGATAAAACTATCTCCAGGTAGAATTCTAGCGGTTATCGTTACTGTCGTTACAGACAAACCATTTCGTTGTCTCCCTTGTGTTGTTTTACAACCATTACAAGGGTCAAGGGTGAAGGTGGTTCTAGCTTGAACTTTGACCTTGCAGACGGCAGAAAGATTGCAACAGGTGGGACAGACAAGACAATTCACATTTACTGTCTGCAGGCTGTCGAAGGCACAGATGACGAGGTGTGGGCTCTCTCAGGTAAATGTAAGGTAAGTCAGGTAATTGTAAGGTAAGTCAGGTAAGTGTAAGGTAAGTCAGGTAAGTGTAAGGTAAGTCAAGTGTAAGGTAAGTCAGGTAAATGTAAGGTAAGTCTGGTAAGTGTAAGGTAAGTCAGGTAAGTGTAAGGTAAATCAGGTAAATGTAAGGTAAGTCAGGTAAATGTAAGGTAAGTCTGGTAAGTGTAAGGTAAGTCAAGTAAGTGTAAGGTAAGTCAGGTAAATGTAAGGTAAGTCAGGTAAATGTAAGGTAAGTCAGGTCTAGACTTTGTCAGGTAAGTGTAAGGTACGTCAAGTAAATGTAAGGTAAGTCAGGTAAGTCAGGTGTGCAGGGGGGGGGGGTAAGTTTTTGTGAGTATGTAAGTTAATTGGATGATTAGACTGAACCAATGACGTCATTATCTTGTGTTTTCATGACGTCATCCTGACAGGGTCACCATGGCAACATCCACGGAGTGGACTGGTCAAGCAACACACTGGACGGTCACGTGATCGTTAGGAGTAGCAGCACAATTCCAGAACAAAAGTTCTGTAAGTTGATGTGTACATGTGCTAGAACAGTTGATGTGTGCATGTACTGGAACAGTTGATGTGTACATGTACTGGAACAGTTGATGTGTACATGTACTAGAACAGTTGATGTGTACATGTACTAGAACAGTTGATGTGTACATGTAGTAGAACAGTTGATGTGTACATGTACTAGAACAGTTGATGTGTACATGTACTAGAACAGTTGATGTGTACATGTAGTACTAGAACAGTTGATGTGTACATGTACTAGAACAGTTGATGTGTACATGTACTAGAACAGTTGCTGTGTACATGTAGTACTAGAACAGTTGATGTGTACATGTACTAGAACAGTTGCTGTGTACATGTACTGGAACAGTTGATGTGTACATGTAGTAGAACAGTTGATGTGTACATGTAGTAGAACAGTTGATGTGTACATGTAGTGGAACAGTTGATGTGTACATGTAGTAGAACAGTTGATGTGTACATGTACTAGAACAGTTGATGTGTACATGTACTAGAACAGTTGATGTGTACATGTACTAGAACAGTTGATGTGTACATGTACTAGAACAGTTGATGTGTACATGTACTAGAACAGTTGATGTGTACATGTAGTAGAACAGTTGATGTGTACATGTACTAGAACAGTTGATGTGTACATGTACTAGAACAGTTGATGTGTACATGTACTAGAACAGTTGATGTGTACATGTAGTACTAGAACAGTTGATGTGTGCATGTACTAGAACAGTTGATGTGTACATGTACTAGAACAGTTGATGTGTACATGTAGTACTAGAACAGTTGATGTGTGCATGTACTAGAACAGTTGATGTGTACATGTACTAGAACAGTTGATGTGTACATGTAGTACTAGAACAGTTGATGTGTGCATGTACTAGAACAGTTGATGTGTACATGTACTAGAAAAGTTGATGTGTACATGTATTGGAACAGTTGATGTGTACATGTACTGAAACAGTTGATGTGTGCATGTACTAGAAAAGTTGATGTGTACATGTACTAGAAAAGTTGATGTGTGCATGTACTAGAACAGTTGATGTGTACATGTACTAGAACAGTTGCTGTGTACATGTGCACACTTGTAGCGAGGTGTACAATAGTTCGCTCTTTTAAAATATTTTTGTCACGTGACCAGGGAACGTGAGCACATTTCAAGAGCTGGGAGGGGAGGTGATGAGTGACGTCATGTGGGCCTCGACCAACTGTCTGCTGGACCACACACTCATAGGTACGTGACGTCACAAACACAATGACGTCACACGACTATAGAAGTGACGTCATATCGTTTAGTCCACGTCAAGACGGTGCTAGGTCTTGGTGTGTGTAATTAAAGCAATTTCTAATTAAAGCAATGTCTAATTAAAGCAATGTCTAACTAAAGCAATGTCTAATTAAACCAATTTCTAATTAAAGCAATGTCTAATTAAAGCAATAACTAATTAAAGCAATGTCTAATTAAACCAATGTCTAATTAAACCAATGTCTAATTAAAGCAATGTCTAATTAAAGCAATGTCTAATTAAAGCAATGTCTAATTGAAGCAATTTCTAATTAAAGCAATGTCTAATTAAAGCAATGTCTAATTAAAGCAATGTCTAATTGAAGCAATTTCTAATTAAAGCAATGTCTAATTAAAGCAATGTCTAATTAAAGCAATGTCTAATTAAAGCAATGTCTAATTAAAGCAACGTCTAAGTGAAGCAATGTCTAATTAAAGCAACGTCTAATTAAAGCAATGTCTAATTAAAGCAATGTCTAATTAAAGCAATGTCTAATTAAAGCAATGTCTAATTAAAGCAATGTCTAATTAAACCAATGTCTAATTAAAGCAATGTCTAATTAAAGCAATGTCTAATTAAAGCAATGTCTAATTAAAGCAATGTCTAATTAAAGCAATGTCTAATTAAAGCAATGTCTAATTAAAGCAATGTCTAATTAAAGCAATGTCTAATTAAGCCAATGTCTAATTAAAGCAATGTCTAATTAAAGCAATGTCATTAAAGCAATATCTAATTAAGCCAATGTCTAATTAAAGCAATGTCTAATTAAAGCAATGTCTAATTAAAGCAATGTCTAATTAAAGCAATGTCTAATTAAAGCAATGTCTAATTAAACCAATGTCTAATTAAACCAATGTCTAATTAAACCAATATCTAATTAAACCAATGTCTAATTAAAGCAATGTCTAATTAAGCCAATGTCTAATTAAAGCAATGTCTAATTAAACCAATGTCTAATTAAAGCAATGTCTAATTAAAGCAATGTCTAATTAAAGCAATGTCTAATTAACTCTTGACTTAATTAACCCCTAGGCCTCTGGAAATCCAAGCAAGCCAGCGAAGGTCACATGACCTGTGTTGACGTCAGCCCTGACCTTCACCTTGCTACCATGGCAACCAGCAGTGGCTCTCTGAATCTGTTTCGTTACCCGTCCTGCACAGAAGGGGTTGGTCTATCATCTGTCATCTGGCATATGTCATCTATCATCTGTCATCTGTCATGTGGCATCTGTCATGTTTCATCTGTCATATCCAATTTTCTGTGTGCCATAACATGTCCTTGACATTTAACCTTGACCTTCTTTGACCCCAGGATTTCAGCCACACGTACAGATCGCACGCGCACACCCACAATCTGACCTTCACCCCTGATGGTAAAAATATCCTGACGGTTGGTGGCGCTGACGTCAGCATCATGCAGTGGAAGCTTGTCTAGCCGCAGGTCAAAGGTCACGGAGGTCAAAAGGTCACAGAGGTCAAAGGGTCACGGAGGTCAAAAGGACAAGCAATGTTTAACGAAAATACAAGAAATCAGATCAATTTAAGCAACCTTATGTCTGTCTGTCTGTTTGTCCGTTTGTCTGTCTGTCTGTCTGTTAGTCTCTCTCTTTGTCTGTCCGTTTCTCTGTCTGTTTGTCTGTCTGTCAGTCACACAAGGCCATGCCATCAATCCCGGTTTTGTGGAGTCACGTTGTGTGCCTAGAGTCCCGTTTTAAAGCTGTCTATTTATATCGTATGATAAGTCACTTTTCTAGAAGTTGATGTTAAAATAGACATCACCAATAGACATCACCAACAGACATCACCGACATCACCAATAGACATCACCAACAGACATCACCGACATCACCAATAGACATCACCAATAGACATCACCAACAGACATCACCGACATCACCAATAGACATCACCAACAGACATCACCGACATCACCAATAGACATCACCAATAGACATCACCAACAGACATCACCGACATCACCAATAGACATCACCAATAGACATCACCAACAGACATCACCGACATCACCAATAGACATCACCAATAGACATCACCAATAGACATCACCAATAGACATCACCAATAGACATCACCAATAGACATCACCAATAGACATCACCAATAGACATCACCGACATCACCAATAGACATCACCGACATCACCAATAGACATCACCAATAGACATCACCAATAGACATCACCAACAGACATCACCGACATCACCAATAGACATCACCAACAGACATCACCGACATCACCAATAGACATCACAAATAGACATCACCAATAGACATCACCAATAGACATCACCAATAGACATCACCAATAGACATCACCGACATCACCAATAGACATCACCGACATCACCAACAGACATCACCGACATCACCAATAGACATCACCAACAGACATCACCGACATCACCAATAGACATCACCGACATCACCAATAGACATCACCAATAGACATCACCAATAGACATCACCAATAGACATCACCAATAGACATCACCAATAGACATCACCAATAGACATCACCGACATCACCAATAGACATCACAAATAGACATCACCAATAGACATCACCAATAGACATCACCGACATCACCAATAGACATCACCAATAGACATCACCAATAGACATCACCGACATCACCAATAGACATCACCAATAAACATCACCGACATCACCAATAGACATCACCAATAGACATCACCAATAGACATCACCAATAGACATCACCGACATCACCAATAGACATCACCAATAGACATCACCGACATCACCAATAGACATCACCAATAGACATCACCAATAGACATCACCAATAGACATCACCAATAGACATCACCAATAGACATCACCGACATCACCAATAGACATCACCAATAGACATCACCAATAGACATCACCAATAGACATCACCAATAGACATCACCAATAGACATCACCAATAGACATCACCAATAGACATCACCAATAGACATCACCAATAGACATCACCAATAGACATCACCAATAGACATCACCAATAGACATCACCAATAGACATCACCAATAGACATCACCGACATCACCAATAGACATCACCAATAGACATCACCAATAGACATCACCAATAGACATCACCGACATCACCAATAGACATCACCAATAGACATCACCAATAGACATCACCAATAGACATCACCAATAGACATCACCAATAGACATCACCAATAGACATCACCAATAGACATCACCGACATCACCAATAGACATCACCAATAGACATCACCAATAGACATCACCAATAGACATCACCAATAGACATCACCAATAGACATCACCGACATCACCAATAGACATCACCAATAGACATCACCAATAGACATCACCAATCCGCTCTTTGATCTACCCACCACATCAAGAAATAGACGACAAATTTGTCCACTCCACGCGACCAAATGCTGACTAATTTATTTAAAATAAACTATCAGCAAAAAATAAAATGATTTTTATAATTTTGGCGTTGCCTCATGTTATCTGTTAAATAAACAATTGACACGTGGTTGGCTTACCGTGTGGACAATATGATGTGGTTGGCTTACCGTGTGGACAATATGATGTGGTTGGCTTACCGTGTGGACAATATGATGTGGTTGGCTTACCGTGTGGACAATATGATGTGGTTGGCTTACCGTGTGGACAATATGACGTGGTTGGCGTATTGTGTGGACAATATGATGTGGTTGGCTTATCGTGTGGACAATATGATGTGGTTGGCTTATCGTGTGGACAATATGATGTGGTTGGCTTATCGTGTGGACAATATGACGTGGTTGGCTTATCGTGTGGACAATATGACGTGGTTGGCTTATCGTGTGGACAATATGACGTGGTTGGCTTATCGTGTGGACAATATGACGTGGTTGGCTTATCGTGTGGACAACCTGACGTGTTGACTACAATAACAGGTCCGTAGACACTGTGGTCCGAAACTAGAGTGTACAACCTGACGTGGTTGGCTTATCGAGTGTACAACCGCTAACCCAAATGTCTCGAGTTCGGATCACGGGCGCAGATCTATATGACGTCATTGAGTCCACCCAGCTCTAATGGGTACCTGAGTCCACCCAGCTCTGATGGGTACCTGAGTCCACCCAGCTCTGATGGGTACCTGACTCTACTCCACCTGATTTACGTTAGTATAAGTAAAGGCAGCTGTCCATAATATCCTTAGGTGGTCATTGAAGTAGGTGAACTCTACTTCATCCGCCCGACGTGTCTCAAACAACGGGACAGTGACCTCAATCTAATCTCATCGAACTTTGACCTACATGCCAACAGCTGAGACAGACACATGACGTCATGAGCACGTGCTGAGGACATTTTACCCCAGACACCGTCAGTCAGACATGTCGTGACGTCATCGCTGCATGACGTCACAATCATTAAGTCTCATTCGAACTCAGAACAGTGACCTTTGACTCCTGAGCAGGTCATGACCTCTGGCCTTCTCCGACCATGACCCCTAGCCACTGTCCCGGCTTAATTAATCTACCAAGTCACGTGTCTAATCACCCACACGTGCAGGCTCCCATACAAAACACGTGCAGAAGGAACAAATGTGCTTACACTCATTAAACAATGGATGTAATTAAAATAATTAAACAATGGATGTAATTAAAATAATTAAACAATGGATTTAATTAAAATAATTAAACAATGGATGTAATTAAAATAATTAAACAATGGATTTAATTAAAATAATTAAACAATGGATGTAATTAAAATAATTAAACAATGGATTTAATTAAAATAATTAAACAATGGATGTAATTAAAATAATTAAACAATGGATTTAATTAAAATAATTAAACAATGGATGTAATTAAAATAATTAAACAATGGATGTAATTAAAATAATTAAACAATGGATGCAATTAAAATAATTAAACAATGGATGTAATTAAAATAATTAAACAATGGATGTAATTAAAATAATTAAACAATGGATGTAATTAAAATAATTAAACAATGGATGTAATTAAAATAATTAAACAATGGATGTAATTAAAATAATTAAACAATGGATGTAATTAAAATAATTAAACAATGGATGTAATTAAAATAATTAAACAATGGATGTAATTAAAATAATTAAACAATGGATGTAATTAAAATAATTAAACAATGGATGTAATTAAAATAATTAAACGAGATCGTTCATGTACAGCTATCAGTTCCATGACGTCATAGATAAGAATTTTAGAAGTTTCACTAGCTGGTGGACTAGGTCAAGAACTTGACTGGTAACATGACAACAAGTTGACTTATATACGATAACAAGTTGACCAACATACGACAACAAGTTGACAAACATACGACAACAAGTTGACCAACATACGACAACAAGTTGACCAACATACAAGTTGACCAACATACAAGTTGACCAATATACAACAAGTTGACCAACATACGACAACAAGTTGACAAACATACGACAACAAGTTGACCAACATACGACAACAAGTTGACCAACATACAAGTTGACCAACATACAAGTTAACCAATATACAACAAGTTGACCAACATACAATAAGTTGACCAACATACAACAAGTTGACCAACATACGACAAGTTGACCAACATACAACAAGTTGACCAACATACGACAACAAGTTGACCAACATACAACAATTTGACCAACATACAACAAGTTGACCAACATACAACAAGTTGACCAACATACGACAACAAGTTGACCAACATACAACAATTTGACCAACATACAACAAGTTGACCAACATACAACAAGTTGACCAACATACGACAACAAGTTGACCAACATACGACAACAAATTGACCAACATACGACAACAACTTGACCAACATACAACAAGTTGACCAACAAAGGACAAGTTGACCAACAAACGACAACAAATTGACCAACATACGACAACAACTTGACCAACATACAACAAGTTGACCAACAAAGGACAAGTTGACCAACAAACGACAACAATATGACAGAGCCTGCACAATATGACTGTCTGCACTGGATGCCTATAACCAGTTTGTCTAAAACTGAGCACGTCAAAAATGTGTAAAATTTTGAAAAAAAAAGTGTGGACGATCTACAACTGGTCAGATAAGACTCATGACGTCATCACAAGACTAGAGTCGTCTGGCAAAATGTGGACGTTTTGTGTGGTAGCTCTAGGGCTACTGGCTACAGTCTATGCTCAAACAAGTAAGTCATTTCCTTTGTGTGGTTAGGGTTAGGGTAGCCTAGAGTAAGTCATTTCATCTTCATCGCGCTGAAATTTGACATAACCCTAACTAAAACTTGGCCAAAGTTCAAACAGTCTATATCAAGCGCTGACATAAACCCCTGACATAAACCCCTACATAAACCCCTGACATAAACCCCTACATAAACCCCTGACATAAACCCCTACATAAACCCCTGACATAAACCCCTACATAAACCCCTGACATAAACCCCTGACATAAACCCCTGACATAAACCCCTACATAAACCCCTGACATAAACCCCTGACATAAACCCCTGACATAAACCCCTACTTAAAACCCTACATAAACCCCTGACATAAACCCCTACATAAACCCCTGACATAAACCCCTACATAAACCCCTGACATAAACCCCTACATAAACCCCTGACATAAACCCCTGACATAAACCCCTGACATAAACCCCTACTTAAAACCCTACATAAACCCCTGACATAAACCCCTGACATAAACCCCTACATAAACCCCTGACATAAACCCCTGACATAAACCCCTGACATAAACCCCTACTTAAAACCCTACATAAACCCCTGACATAAACCCCTGACATAAACCCCTACATAAACCCCTGACATAAACCCCTACATAAACCCCTGACATAAACCCCTACATAAACCCCTGACATAAACCCCTACATAAACCCCTGACATAAACCCCTACATAAACCCCTACATAAACCCCTGACATAAACCCCTACATAAACCCCTGGCATAAACCCCTGACATAAACCCCTGCACCAAAACGTTGGTACTCACAAATTGATGACGTATTCCACAGGAGCCTGCACTAACCACCCAAATGGATTCTGTATCAATATGTACACAAGCACATGCCCTGCTGGCACCTTCATGAGCTACAGGTAGCAATGTTTGTCTCACTAGCTACAGGTAGCAATGTTTGTCTCACTAGCTACAGGTAGCCATCTTTGTCTCACTAGCTACAGGTAGCAATGTTTGTCTCACTAGCTACAGGTAGCCATCTTTGTATCACTAGCTACAGGTAGCCACATTAACTCACTAGCTACAGGTAGCCACATTTGTCTCACTAGCTACAGGTAGCCACGTTTGTCTCACAAGCTACAGGTAGCCATCTTTGTCTCACTAGCTACAGGTTGCCAGTCTCACTAGCTACAGGTAGCCACGTTTGTCTCACTAGCTACAGGTAGCCAGTCTCACTAGCTACAGGTAGCCACGTTTGTCTCACTAGCTACAGGTAGTCATGTTTGTCTCACTAGCTACAGGTAGTCATGTTTGTCTCACTAGCTACAGGTAGCCACGTTTGTCTCACTAGATACAGGTAGCCGCGTTTGTCTCACTAGCTACAGGTAGCCATCTTTGTATCACTAGCTACAGGTAGCTACGTTTATCTCGCTAACTACAGGTAGCGAGTCTAACTAGCTACAGGTAGCCACGTTTGTCTCACTAGCCACAGGTAGCCACGTTTGTCTCACTAGCTAAAGGTAGCCAGTCTAACTAGCTGCAGGTAGCCAGTCTCACTAGTTTCAGATAGCAATGTTTGTCAAGCTTTCCACTTGACATAAATATAATTTATTACGTCAAATATTTTGTGTTGTATCATTCGTGGCATTACATCATACCATTTGTAACTATCTGTAACCCCACCCCCACCTCACCCCCTCACCCCCCACCTCACCCCCCCCCCCTATTACAGCGGCTGTGGTTTCCTAGAGAACTGCTGCTACTACGACAGCTATGTCGCCGTCACAACACCCCGACGTAAGTTGTCTGTCATCTGTTATGGTTTGTCTGTCATGGTTTGTATGTCATGGTTTGTCTGTCATCTGTCATGGTTTGTCGGTCATGGTTTGTCTGTCATGGTTTGTATGTCATGGTTTGTCTGTCATCTGTCATGGTTTGTATGTCATGGTCTGTCTGTCATGGTGTGTCTGTCATGGTCTGTCTGTCATGGTGTGTCTACAACCTGTCATTGTGTGTTGTGTGTTATATGATGTGTTGGGTTTGTGTTGTGTTTTTTATTATGTGTTGGATGTGTGTGTGGTGTGTTATATGATGTATTGCATTTGTGTGTTGTGTTTTATATCGTGAGCGTGGTGTGTGTGGTGTATGTTGTATGATGTATGTGGTGTGTGTGGTGTATGTTATATGATGTATGTGGTGTGTGTGGTGTATGTTATATGATGTATGTGGTGTGTGTGGTGTATGTTATATGATGTATGTGGTGTGTGTGGTGTATGTTGTATGATGTATGTGGTGTGTGTGGTGTATGTTATATGATGTATGTGGTGTGTGTGGTGTATGTTATATGATTATGTGGTGTGTGTGGTGTATGTTATATGATGTATGTGGTGTGTGTGGTGTATGTTGTATGTTGTATGTGGTGTGTGTGGTGTATGTTGTATGATGTATGTGGTGTGTGTGGTGTATGTTATATGATGTATGTGGTGTGTGTGGTGTATGTTATATGATGTATGTGGTGTGTGTGGTGTATGTTATATGATGTATGTGGTGTGTGTGGTGTATGTTGTATAATGTATGTGGTGTGTGTGGTGTATGTTGTATGATGTATGTGGTGTGTGTGGTGTCTGGTATATGATGTGCAGTAACAAGAAATATTTAGTATTAATGACGTCATAGAAATGCGCTATATCAGCCTTGACCTTGATGATACATCCCCCCCCCCCCCACCAACATAATAGTTCCATGTTTCCCCCCCCCCCCCCTGCAGCAAGTGTGAGCACCAGCAGCAACTCTTGTGGTATCAGCACCACCACCGGGGGTCACAAGATCGTTGGGGGTCAGGCCACGACAATAGACAAGTATCCCTGGCAGGTACGTACTACAGCAGGTACATTCAATGTTCCCCAAGTTCCCATAACTCAAATGTTCCCCAAGTTCACATAACTCAAATGTTCCCCAAGTTCACATAACTCCTATTTTCCCCTAGTTCCCATAACTCCAATGTTCCCCAAGTTCCCATAACTCCAATGTTCCCCAAGTTCCCATAACTCCAATGTTCCCCAAGTTCCCATAACTCCAATGTTCCCTATGTTCCCATAACTCTAATGTTCCCAGAGTTCCCATAACTCTAATGTTCCCCAAGTTCCCATAAATCCAATGTCCCCCAAGTTCCCATAACTCCAATGTTCCCTATGTTCCCATAACTCTAATGTTCCCCAAGTTCCCATAACTCCGATGTTTTCCTAGTTCCCATAACTCCAATGTTCCACAAGTTCCCATAACTCCAATGTTCCCTATGTTCCCATAACTCCAATGTTCCCCAAGTTCCCATAACTCCAATGTTCCCCAAGTTCCCATAACTCCAATGTTCCCCAAGTTCCCATAACTCCAATGTTCCCTATGTTCCCATAACTCTAATGTTCCCCGAGTTCCCATAACTCTAATGTTCCCCAAGTTCCCATAAATCCAATGTTCCCCAAGTTCCCATAACTCCAATGTTCCCTATGTTCCCATAACTCTAATGTTCCCCGAGTTCCCATAACTCTAATGTTCCCCAAGTTCCCATAAATCCAATGTTCCCCAAGTTGCCATAACTCCAATGTTCCCTATGTTCCCATAACTCTAATGTTCCCTAAGTTCCCATAACTCCAATGTTTCCCTAGTTCCCATAACTCCAATGTTCCCCAAGTTCCCATAACTCCAATGTTCCCTATGTTCCCATAACTCTAATGTTCCCCGAGTTCCCATAACTCTAATGTTCCCCAAGTTCCCATAACCCTGATGTTCCCCATGTTCCCATAACTCCAATGTTCCCGATGTTGCAGGTGTCGGTACGGTTCCACGGTAGCCACATCTGTGGGGGAACTCTGATATCAGACAGCTGGGTACTCACAGCTGCACATTGCATCATCGAGTGAGTGCTCATCTTGATCACATGACCCTGTGACCTTCAACCTTGCAGACACGTGGTCGTGTTAAGATTGGTTGGACATAACCTTTGACTTGGAGTTAACCTTTGACACACTGTTGTAGCTTTAACAACATCTTCATTCTTTCATTAATTTTTTTTATTTTAAATTTTTGTATTTAACCTTGACCTTGCTTGCTTGCATTTGACCTTGAACCCCGCCTGTCTACAGTGAGGACCAAGTGTTCACAGTGGACGAGTTCAGCATCGTGTTCGGTACTACACACAGCCAGAACTACCCGTACCTCAACACACGCAAGTTGACACACATCCTTACACACAGCGAGTAAGTTGCCCCACACACCCCCACACACACCCCCACACACAACCAGAACTACCCGTACCTCAACACACGCAAGTTGACACACATCCTCACACACAGCGAGTAAGTTCTCCCACACACCCCACACACCCCCACACACCCCCACACACCCCCACACACACCCCACACACCCCCCACACACAGCCAGAACTACCCGTATCTCAACACACGCAAGTTGACACACATCCTCACACACAGCGAGTAAGTTGTCCCACACACCCCCACACATACACATAGAGGACATATTGAGTTCCATGAGGAGATGACGTCATCACGTATTTAAACCTGCTCGACCAAATTGTTCAGTAAATGTCTAACCCCCCCTGTTACACCTATGTATTGTAGATGTAAGACCCCCCCCTTACACCTATGTATTGAGGATGTAAGACCCCCCTTACACCTATGTATTGAGGATGTAAGACCCCCCCCCTTACATATATGTATTGAGGATGTAAGACCCCCCCTTACACCTATGTATTGAGGATGTAAGACCCCCCTTACATATATGTATTGAGGATGTAAGACCCCCCTTACACCTATGTATTGAGGATGTAAGACCCCCCTTACAGCTATGTATTGTGGATGTAAGACCAAACCTAACCACCTAACCTAACCACCTAACCGAACCACCTAATCTAACCACCTGATCCAACCACCTAACCTAACCACCTAACCTAACCACCTAACCCAACCATCTAACCACCTAACCCAACCACCTAACCTAACCACCTAACCTAAACATCTCACCTAACTACCAAACAACCTAACCTAACCACCTAACCTAACCACCTAATCTAACCACCTGATCCAACCACCTAACCTAACCACCTAACCTAACCACCTAACCCAACCATCTAACCACCTAACCCAACCACCTAACCTAACCACCTAACCTAACCACCTAACCTAACCATCTAACCTAACTACCAAACCACCTAACCTAACCACCTAACCTAGCCACCTAATCTAACCACCTGATCCAAACCATCTAACCTAACCACCTAACCCAACCATCTAACCACCCAACCAAACCACCTAACCTAACCACCTAACCCAACCATCTAACCACCTAACCTAACCACCTACCCTAACCACCTAACCTAACCACCAGATCTAACCACCTAACCTAACCACCTAACCTAACCACCTAACCCAACCACCTAACCTAACCACCTGATGTAACCCCCCCCCCCCCCCCGCCCCCAGCTATGTGCTGAATGACAGGAATGACATCGCCCTAATGAAGCTGGACCGTCCCGTGAACCTGGCTGACCCCTACGTCCAACACATCTGTCTGCCCTCACCTAATGAGGACTTCAGTGGTCAAGTGTGTGTGGCCACGGGCTGGGGGGACATGCATGAAGGTAGGTGTGTGGGGGGTGTGGGTGTGGGGGTGTGGGTGTGGGGGGGTGTGTGGGGGTCAAGTGTGTGTGGCCACGGGCTGGGGGGACATGCATGAAGGTAGGTGTGTGTGGGGGTGTGGGGGTGTGTGGGGGTGTGGGGGTGTGTGGGGGTGTGTGGGGGTCAAGTGTGTGTGGCCACGGGCTGGGGGGACATGCATGAAGGTAGGTCTGTGTGGGGGTGTGTGGGGGGGGGGTGTGGGTGGGTATGTGGGTATGTGTGGGTGTCAAGTTTGTGTGTCCACGGGGTGGGGAGACATGGATGAAGGTATGTGTGTGTGGGGGTGTGGGGGTGTGTGGGGGTCAAGTTTGTGTAACCACAGGGCGGGGGGACATGCATGAAGGTAGGTGTGTGTGGGGGTGTGGGGGTGCGGGGGTGTGTGGGGGTCAAGTTTGTGTAACCACAGGGCGGGGGGACATGCATGAAGGTAGGTGTGTGTGGGGGTGTGTGGGGGTGTGTGGGGGTGTGATTTGTGGGGGGATACATGGAACTGTATGCGGGTGTACTGACATCTGTACTGACATCTGTGCTGACATCTGTACTGATATTGTAATGACATATGTACTGACATGTGTACTGACATGTGTACTGACATAGGTACTGACATGTGTACTGCCGTGCCAATCCCCAGGTGACAGTAACGTGCCCTGACATCCCCAGGTGACAGTAACGTGCCCTGACATCCCCAGGTGACAGTAACGTGCCGACCCCTGACATCCCCAGGTGACAGTAACGTGCCCTGACATCCCCAGGTGACAGTAACGTGCCCTGACATCCCCAGGTGACAGTAACGTGCCGACCCCTGACATCCCCAGGTGACAGTAACGTGCCGACCCCTGACATCCCCAGGTGACAGTAACGTGCCGACCCCTGACATTCCCAGGTGACAGTAACGTGCCGACCCCTGACATCCCCAGGTGACAGTAACGTGCCGACCCCTAACATTCCCAGGTGACAGTAACGTGCCCTGACATCCCCAGGTGACAGTAACGTGCCGACCCCTAACATCCCCAGGTGACAGTAACGTGCCGACCCCTGACATCCCCAGGTGACAGTAACGTGCCGACCCCTGACATCCCCAGGTGACAGTAACGTGCCGACCCCTGACATCCCCAGGTGACAGTAACGTGCCGACCCCTGACATCCCCAGGTGACAGTAACGTGCCGACCCCTGACATCCCCAGGTGACAGTAACGTGCCGACCCCTGACATCCCCAGGTGACAGTAACGTGCCGACCCCTGACATCCCCAGGTGACAGTAACGTGCCGACCCCTGACATCCCCAGGTGACAGTAACGTGCCGACCCCTGACATCCCCAGGTGACAGTAACGTGCCGACCCCTGACATTCCCAGGTGACAGTAACGTGCCGACCCCTGACATCCCCAGGTGACAGTAACGTGCCGACCCCTGACATCCCCAGGTGACAGTAACGTGCCGACCCCTGACATCCCCAGGTGACAGTAACGTGCCGACCCCTGACATCCCCAGGTGACAGTAACGTGCCGACCCCTGACATCCCCAGGTGACAGTAACGTGCCGACCCCTGACATCCCCAGGTGACAGTAACGTGCCGACCCCTGACATCCCCAGGTGACAGTAACGTGCCGACCCCTGACATCCCCAGGTGACAGTAACGTGCCGACCCCTGACATCCCCAGGTGACAGTAACGTGCCCTGACATCCCCAGGTGACAGTAACGTGCCGACCCCTGACATTCCCAGGTGACAGTAACGTGCCGACCCCTGACATCCCCAGGTGACAGTAACGTGCCGACCCCTGACATTCCCAGGTGACAGTAACGTGCCGACCCCTGACATCCCCAGGTGACAGTAACGTGCCGACCCCTGACATCCCCAGGTGACAGTAACGTGCCGACCCCTGACATCCCCAGGTGACAGTAACGTGCCGACCCCTGACATCCCCAGGTGACAGTAACGTGCCGACCCCTGACATCCCCAGGTGACAGTAACGTGCCGACCCCTGACATCCCCAGGTGACAGTAACGTGCCCTGACATCCCTAGTGACAGTAACGTGCCGACCCCTGACATTCCCAGGTGACAGTAACGTGCCCTGACACCCCCAGGTGACAGTAACGTGCCGACCCCTGACATTCCCAGGTGACAGTAACGTGCCGACCCCTGACATCCCCAGGTGACAGTAACGTGCCCTGACATCCCCAGGTGACAGTAACGTGCCGACCCCTGACATCCCCAGGTGACAGTAACGTGCCGACCCCTGACATCCCCAGGTGACAGTAACGTGCCGACCCCTGACATCCCCAGGTGACAGTAACGTGCCGACCCCTGACATCCCCAGGTGACAGTAACGTGCCGACCCCTGACATCCCCAGGTGACAGTAACGTGCCGACCCCTGACATCCCCAGGTGACAGTAACGTGCCGACCCCTGACATTCCCAGGTGACAGTAACGTGCCGACCCCTGACATCCCCAGATGACAGTAACGTGCCGACCCCTGACATCCCCAGGTGACAGTAACGTGCCGACCCCTGACATCCCCAGGTGACAGTAACGTGCCCTGACATCCCCAGGTGACAGTAACGTGCCGACCCCTGACATCCCCAGGTGACAGTAACGTGCCGACCCCTGACATCCCCAGGTGACAGTAACGTGCCCTGACATCCCCAGGTGACAGTAACGTGCCCTGACATCCCCAGGTGACAGTAACGTGCCGACCCCTGACATTCCTAGGTGACAGTAACGTGCCGACCCCTGACATCCCCAGGTGACAGTAACGTGCCGACCCCTAACATTCCCAGGTGACAGTAACGTGCCCTGACATCCCCAGGTGACAGTAACGTGCCGACCCCTAACATCCCCAGGTGACAGTAACGTGCCGACCCCTGACATCCCCAGGTGACAGTAACGTGCCGACCCCTGACATCCCCAGGTGACAGTAACGTGCCGACCCCTGACATCCCCAGGTGACAGTAACGTGCCGACCCCTGACATCCCCAGGTGACAGTAACGTGCCGACCCCTGACATCCCCAGGTGACAGTAACGTGCCGACCCCTGACATCCCCAGGTGACAGTAACGTGCCGACCCCTGACATCCCCAGGTGACAGTAACGTGCCGACCCCTGACATCCCCAGGTGACAGTAACGTGCCGACCCCTGACATCCCCAGGTGACAGTAACGTGCCGACCCCTGACATTCCCAGGTGACAGTAACGTGCCGACCCCTGACATCCCCAGGTGACAGTAACGTGCCGACCCCTGACATCCCCAGGTGACAGTAACGTGCCGACCCCTGACATCCCCAGGTGACAGTAACGTGCCGACCCCTGACATCCCCAGGTGACAGTAACGTGCCGACCACTGACATCCCCAGGTGACAGTAACGTGCCGACCCCTGACATCCCCAGGTGACAGTAACGTGCCGACCCCTGACATCCCCAGGTGACAGTAACGTGCCGACCCCTGACATCCCCAGGTGACAGTAACGTGCCGACCCCTGACATCCCCAGGTGACAGTAACGTGCCCTGACATCCCCAGGTGACAGTAACGTGCCGACCCCTGACATTCCCAGGTGACAGTAACGTGCCGACCCCTGACATCCCCAGGTGACAGTAACGTGCCGACCCCTGACATTCCCAGGTGACAGTAACGTGCCGACCCCTGACATCCCCAGGTGACAGTAACGTGCCGACCCCTGACATCCCCAGGTGACAGTAACGTGCCGACCCCTGACATCCCCAGGTGACAGTAACGTGCCGACCCCTGACATCCCCAGGTGACAGTAACGTGCCGACCCCTGACATCCCCAGGTGACAGTAACGTGCCGACCCCTGACATCCCCAGGTGACAGTAACGTGCCCTGACATCCCTAGTGACAGTAACGTGCCGACCCCTGACATTCCCAGGTGACAGTAACGTGCCCTGACACCCCCAGGTGACAGTAACGTGCCGACCCCTGACATTCCCAGGTGACAGTAACGTGCCGACCCCTGACATCCCCAGGTGACAGTAACGTGCCCTGACATCCCCAGGTGACAGTAACGTGCCGACCCCTGACATCCCCAGGTGACAGTAACGTGCCGACCCCTGACATCCCCAGGTGACAGTAACGTGCCGACCCCTGACATCCCCAGGTGACAGTAACGTGCCGACCCCTGACATCCCCAGGTGACAGTAACGTGCCGACCCCTGACATCCCCAGGTGACAGTAACGTGCCGACCCCTGACATCCCCAGGTGACAGTAACGTGCCGACCCCTGACATTCCCAGGTGACAGTAACGTGCCGACCCCTGACATCCCCAGATGACAGTAACGTGCCGACCCCTGACATCCCCAGGTGACAGTAACGTGCCGACCCCTGACATCCCCAGGTGACAGTAACGTGCCCTGACATCCCCAGGTGACAGTAACGTGCCGACCCCTGACATCCCCAGGTGACAGTAACGTGCCGACCCCTGACATCCCCAGGTGACAGTAACGTGCCCTGACATCCCCAGGTGACAGTAACGTGCCGACCCCTGACATTCCCAGGTGACAGTAACGTGCCCTGACATCCCCAGGTGACAGTAACGTGCCGACCCCTGACATCCCCTGGTGACAGTAACGTGCCCTGACATCCCCAGGTGACAGTAACGTGCCGACCCCTGACATCCCCAGGTGACAGTAACGTGCCGACCCCTGACATCCCCAGGTGACAGTAACGTGCCCTGACATCCCCAGGTGACAGTAACGTGCCGACCCCTGACATTCCCAGGTGACAGTAACGTGCCCTGACATCCCCAGGTGACAGTAACGTGCCGACCCCTGACATCCCCAGGTGACAGTAACGTGCCCTGACATCCCCAGGTGACAGTAACGTGCCGACCCCTGACATCCCCAGGTGACAGTAACGTGCCCTGACATTCCCAGGTGACAGTAACGTGCCGACCCCTAACATTCCCAGGTGACAGTAACGTGCCGACCCCTGACATCCCCAGGTGAC